GTGCACCTATCCGGGTGTGAAGTTAACAGAACGTTGCCCCTTGTCCTGCTATCACTAGATGTACAAAATTAATACAAATCACTAACCCTTAAAGTTGAAATGGATATTAATGAATTTTGATAATTATTAATCAATTAATTAATTACTACGCAATTTACCAATCCTTTAAGGATTCCTCAAAAATATATAATTTTTACAAAGAATTTGTCACTGAAATACATGTACAAGTATATTAGATACTTATGGAGGGATGCCACATCAAAATGTTATCTTATAGATCTCTGAGTCAACCTTTTTAAACATTGGTTTCAGCACTGAAAGGCCGACATTACCTCCTTATTATTTTATGACTTTTTTTGTATTTTTTCAAAGAATATTAAAAAATATATATTTACATCTAAAAAGGATGCGCTCTTGTAAAAATTTTGTTGTAAATGTATGCATCACATGAATACCTAATCAAATATCTAAAGAAAAGCCGTATTTACAGCTGTATATTTATTTTTTTAAATAAAAAAAATATTTATGATAATAAAACACATAATTTGTGAATTTTTTAAACTTGTGGTTAAAATCTTCTTATAACTAGTTACAACTTGGGAGAACATGTTCGTAAATCATGTTTATAAAACAAATTGAAACGAAATAACCAAATTTCAGAGAAATTTTTTTTTTTTTTTACTTTGACCAATCCCAATCAAAATTAAACCGATTCCTATCATAATTGAACAATTATTGGAAATAAATAACATTTCCCTTAGAACACTAGTCTGATTATGTGTAATAAGCGTTAAAACATTATTGAACTTGACAATCAAATAGATTTCTTCATTGTAAATAAAATGTGTGTTAATTTTGATCGGAAGCAGTTTAATTTTGATCGGGTTAGGTCCAACTATAAAAAAATAATTTCTCTAAAATTTCTCAATTTAATTCAATTTCTTTTTCAAATATGATTGACAAATATGTTCTCCTGAGTTGTGACTAGTTTTATGGAGTTTTTACCATAGACTTAAAAATTTCACAAAAATGTGGGGGTTTTTTTCATATTTTTTTTTTAATAAAAAAAATTGAAAGTTTAACCAGCCTTTCTTTACATATTTTATTAGATATTTATATGACGCATTCATTTACAGCACATTTTTCAAGCGAAAACATCTTATTTGGATATAGATTGTTTTTCATTTTCTTTGAAAATATACCAAAAGATTAATATAAAATAATTAAGAGCTAATATCGGCCTTTCAGTGCTGAAACCATTGTTTTGAAAGAATAACTCAAAGATCTTTCAAATAAAAAAAGTTGGTGTGGCATTCCGCCTTAAAAATACCTGGCAAAATATGGGATACCTTACGAGGCATTTGGACAAGATACCTGAGCGTGATATTTCTTTTATTTTAAATCATTTTTTGCAGTCTTCTGTCTGGCGTTAATCAAAATCTTTGGTGTACTTATATTTAAAAAGATATTGAAAACAGAGTGGAAATCACAGGAGAATGAAAATTATGAATATTTCAATTTGAAATTATATAAACAGATTCAAACATATATATGAGAAAGGTGACGTCTAAACTTAAAAGACACTTCAGTCTGTTTTAACTGCAATTACCGGTATCCGATATATTTTCGTAGTACTTAAAATTTCAGTTTTTGTGGTTACTGTATTTAATAGTGTCAAAGTAAATTGTCATGAGCTCATAAACATTTGCAGATGCTAATAATCAAATCACTGTCTTTCTAATTTCAACAGACTTAAGTAAACTTAAGACACCAAGGTCAATAACCTTATGCCTTGTCTGCGACATATATGTTAAAGATAGTTTTCTTCCGAATTTTGTAGCAGCCGGGCTCATATTGTTTCACAAACACATCTTGTTTAAATTGTTTAATGACAAACAGTGTACCTTCTAAATAGCAAAAACGTACCTGTTAAAGGTCTACAAGAAACTGCATATTGGTACTGTCAACTATTTCAAGAAGCAGGTCAAATGTCAAGTTCAAAGACAACTAGGTCCGAAACATGGTCAAGAACAAACGCCATAGTACCAAGCTTTATATATGCAAAATATCAAACCCATACATCTTAAGTTGTCGGGATATAAGGTGCAAGACAAACAGACGGACGAACAGAGAGAGAAATATCTCGTTCGCGGCGCCGCGTCATATCTAAGATGTAAACATAGGTAGCGATTGTTCCTTTGCAAAGCGCTCGGCACTAGAAGTGAAAGTCACGGGTCTTTCGGATATGACCTTAAAAACGTAGGTTCCGCGTCACGGTAGGCGCTGGCACGTTAAAGAACCCTCACTGCTCAATGGCCCTGAGTGCCGAGTATAGGTCTAAATTTGAAGCCCTTCACAGGCATACGGTGACGTCTCCATATGAATGAAAAATTCCCGAGAGGGACGTTAAACAATAATCAATCATACAACAAGATGCTTTTTTAAATATAAATTCAACAATACAACTGTAAATCTTTAGTATTAATGAGACATAAAAATGTTTATTCATATCTATAGGAGAGATAGATAACCCCCTGTTCTAATATAATCTGATATTTGACTTTCATGCTTTATTATAGTTGGTTTATTTGAAAATGGCTTCATTTTTGTATAAAGTCTGTAAAACTTGAGCAAAATTGACCTTATTTTTTTCATATTTTGTAAGACAAAGCATGACAACTTACGAGTGTGAGATTAAAATTGAATCGTAAACATTATTGTTTGAATCTTTTAAATTGGAATTAAACAATAAACACAAATTTAGATATCTCTTTTCATTTTTGGCAATGTTTTTTCATAAAAATTACAGTTTTTCATGGTTTACAAAAATGAATAATTTGTATCCTAATTCCATGGCAAACAAGATTACAGTTCTAAAACTATTTTTAGATTTTAGAATCACTCACAAACAAATCTGTATTAATTAATGATATAAAAATCCAAATCGGTTATTGTGAGTGCCAAGATTTTTTCGTGATTACAAAGAGGCGAAAAATAAAGGCGACACAAATTTTAAAAAGTTGGAGTATACTGAGATAGTAAAGCCCATTTTTGCAACCACTATTGAAATAACGACCACGTATTATTGAAATAAATAGTTGTTGAGAGTGCATTTCAAGAGCAAACATAGTTAGTAATCACTATTGAAATACGACCGCTATTGAAATAATTATATCAATAGTAGTTGAGAGTGCATTTCAATAACAAACATAGTTAGTTACCATTATTGAAATACGACCACTATTGACATGATTATATCAATAGTGGTTGAGAGTGCATTTCAATAGCAAACATAGTTAGTAACCACTATTAAAATACAACCACTATTGAAATAATTATATCAATAGTGGTTGAAAGTGTATTTCAATAACAAGCAAAGGTAATAAACATTATTGAAATACCACCACTGTTGAAATAATTATTTCAATAGTGGGTGAGAATCAATTTAATTAAAAACATAGGTTGCAACTACTATTGCAATAATGTTCACTTTTGAAATAAAAATTTCAATATGGATTAAATTATGGTTTTTAAGTTTTGAAGTATTATCAGCAACTTTCAAAATAATTATTTAAATCACTCTTGGCATTATAATTTCAATAACTATCTAAATCTTCATTTAAGGACAGATGATACAAACAAAATATGGATGCCTGGATTGGTATATATTTTTTGGTCTGATTTCATTGAAAATGATGCAAATAATAAATTTCTAGAATATAAAGAAATTGTAAACCTTTTGTGATGTTCGAAATTTTGCCTCAGTAAAACCATCCTATACACTTTAATTATTAATCTATATATTTTCACCCCAAATTCAATTTTTGTGAAATTTTGGATAAAATATTAAAAAATTACTCAATGAAACTTTTCTTTCAAACTGGTCGCATATCGATGTGGTTGAAACCTATGGTAATCACATTGAAAAGCAGTCTTCCCCACTATTAAATAATTATATTATTGTTTGAAACCTATGGTTATCATATTAAAATGCACTCTCACCCACCATGGAAGTAATTATTTCAGTGGTCGTATTTCAATAGTGTTTAATAGCTATGTTTGTTATTGAAATGCACTCTCAACCACTATTGATATAATTAGTTCAATAGTGTCGTATTCCAATAGTGGTTACTACCTATGTTTGCTATTGAAATGCACTCTCAACCACTATTGATATAATTATTTCAATAGTGGCCGTATTTCAATAGTGGTTACATGTACTAACTATGTTTGCTATTGAAATGCACTCTCAACCACTATTAATATAATTATTTCAATAGTGGCCGTATTTCAATAGTGGTTACTAACAATGTTTGCTATTGAAATGCACTATCAACCACTATTGATATAATTATTTCAATAGTGGCCGTATTTCAATAGTGGTTATTACCTATGTTTGTTATTGAAATGCACTCTCAACCACTATTGATATAATTATTTCAATAGTGGTCGTTATTTCAATAGTGGTTGCAACAGCCCAATCCTCTGTTACACATCTTTGATGTAGCCTTTCTCTTATCTGCAACACACCGATTTCACAGAATAAATTTTAATGAGACTTTCATATAATTATATAGGTCCATGTTGTGTATATCCTATTTCATTACTTTTGATGAGACACATCTTTAGGGTTTCTTTTACCAAAACATGGATGCTGCAATTCTTTTTATTTTATATGGGATAGTATCTTTTTTCCTCAACTACATGTATTCCTTTATCACTGAATAAAAAAATATTGATAGATTTCATTTTTTTTTTTACAAATGTAATTATGCACGTCATACTCTATGTTTTGGTAGAACACATATTTGGGTTTTCCCAGAACAAAAAAAAAATAAATGTTATTGTATGCATATACGAACGGAAATATCATTTTGTGAGATTGTTGCTTACATCTCTCTACTTCAGATTTAATTTCATATTACTTAATATTATACATGATTATACATTCCATTTTTTATGATAGCTTTATCAATTTTTTTAAAATTATTTTTTTCAAGATTCACCTAAGCCACCTTCAAACTTTACCTGGAACTCTGACGCTCGAGGATACGTGAATCTTACCTGGATATCAAACTTTAATGGTGGACCGGAACAATTCTTCATCTTATCACACATGAAAGAATCTGGCTGGACATTTGTTGAAAATCTGACAGACTCCGGTGAGGGTAACTTGAGATATCATGACCTAGGACCTTTAACGCCAGGACTTGAGTACTTGTACCAGTTAGAGAGCTGTAATAGAATTAATTGTTCTTTGAGCCCGAGAGAAGTTAAAGTCAAAGTTAAAGGTGAAGTATCTAACTTTTTATTCCATTAAGTTATCTTCTTGTAAGTTGTAGCAAGTTATTTGATTGGGTAAAAGATTTTATCCAATTTGTATAACATAAAAGTCAACGAGTTACGTCAAAAACGTATCACTCCGCTTGACGTTACTTTAAAAATAAGCTAAAATACTATAAAAATATTATAAATCTCAAGCCTTTTTCTGGAGGAATAATTGTCTCATTGTCTACACTGAAATTAAATTATAAGGAATGAATCTTATTTCAACTTATGTTATACGATAAAACATAATGTTTCGTATAACATAAGTTGAAATAAGCTTAATTCCTTAAATAAACTTCTTGAACTACGTGCATCTTTATTAGCATATTAAGAATAATTCATATATTCTATTTCTTGACAAAAAAATCTATCATGATATTTAAAGCTCCTCCGATCTCGACCTCCTCTCTGTTTGGAGACAATACCATGCTGATTTTGGTTGGAGCTTCTGCCACTGGCTTTCTCCTTGTTGTGGTTCTGACATTGGCGGTGACGATGTATTGTAAAACAACTAAAAAGTCAGCTACGAAGAAAAGAAACAGGCAGGAAGGACTCAGTGGATGTAAGCAGATATAGTTTAGATATACAAGTGTATCCAAAATATTATCCATCTTACGTTATAATGAAAATCTGAAGATGCAATATTTGGTTTTACATTTAAATCGTTGCGGCTTTGGTGCAGACATCAAAGGGCTTGTAAACAAATATGAAATACGTACGTTAATCATGATAATGAAATAAACTTAAATCCAAAGTGCTTAATCATGAAAACTATGGAAATAACGATCAGTATTGAAGATCAAAAGTTTATTATTCTTATTATTATTATTATTATTATTATTATACAAAATTTATAGAGCGCCTTATATAATAAACACAATTACTCTAAAGCGCTGTACAACATAGTTAAAATACATTCATAAATACAACATCAAGAATAAAAATTTTGTTGAATAGCATAAGAAAATAAAATTTAGTATTGAAAACCATTTTAAAAATTAAAAATATTTTTGCAAAATGATGATTAAACGATATCAAAACACGAAAAGAGAAAACTGCATACAATAGAGCATAAGAAATTTCAGAAGATTAAAAATAACCAAATATTTTAAGTCAGAAATCTTTAAACATAATTAAATAAATAAATAAAAACAGTCTATATTTGACACTTAAAGATAAAAATTTAACCGAATGCTTCCCTAAAAAGATGAGTTTTCAGATGTTTTTTAAAAGTGTTCAAAGATGGGCATAAAACCAGATGTGGAGGTAAAGAGTTCAAGAGGGATGCAGCGGCCACGTCAAAACGTCTATTCCCACAGGTTGATGTTCGACAGTGTGGTCCTTGTAGTGACAGCTTGTTTGCCGATCTAAGGGAACGACCAGGTTGATATACGGTGATGAGCTCTGCAATGTATTTTGGTGCTATGTTGTTGATTGCTTTGTAAGTATAAATAAGAATTTTGTACTGGATGCGTTTGTCAATTGGAAGCCAATGAAGGGAAACAAGGATCGAAGTAATGTGCTCCCTCTTCCTGGAACGAGTAATAATGCGTGCTGCTGTGTTATGTATTCTTTGTAATTTGGCTATTTCGGTTGTATTTATGCCATAGAGGAGAGCGTTGGCATAGTCGAGCCTAGATGTCACAAGAGAACAGACCAGGGTCTTGTAGGCATCCTCTGTAATCAATGGACGTATTCTCCCAATGTTCCTAAGCTGGTAATAGCATGAACGAGACACCGAGGAAATTTGCATTTGCATGCTAAGAGACTTATCAAACCACACCCCGAGGTTCTTTACACTGGTCGCCTCTCCCACGATGGTGTCACTAAAGTTCAGATGGTAAGTTTGAGACTACTTGAGTTGTTGTTTTGGAGTAAAAACTATAAATTCTGTTTTGTCCTGGTTTAGTTTTAGCATGTTGGAACACATCCACTGCTTGATTTCTTCCAGGCACGTTTCAAGTCTCAAAGCGGTATTATTCCAGTTGTTCCTGGGTTTAAAGACCAGATAAGCTTGGGTATCATCAGCATAACAATGATAGTGTATGTTGTTTTTGGAACATATGTTACCAATTGGTCTGGAAAAAATGGAATATAACCTTGGACCCAACACAGACCCTTGTGGTACACCACATCTAAGATGGTAGTCCCTGGAAAAAGAAGATCCAATGGCAATTTTATGCGTCCTTCCTGATAGGTACGACTTAATCCATGCGAGGGCCGAGCCAGATATGCCAAAACCAATTTTTAGTCGATTTATCAGAATGGAGTGGTCGATGACATCAAAAGCTGCAGATAGGTCTAACATAATAAATGCCACACATGTACCAGAATCTAAAGCTGCAACAATATCGTGATGGACTCTAAGTAAAGCTGTTTCAGTAGAGTGACATGGGCGATATGCTGATTGTACATTGTCATGAAGGTAATTTGACTCTAGGTGATGATCAAGACGTTTAGCAACAACTTTTTCGAGAATTTTGGAGAGGAAGGAAAGGTTTGAGACAGGTCTGTAGTTGCGGTACTCCTCTGGATCTAAGCCGGTTTTCTTGATGAGAGGACGAACAACAGCCTGCTTAAAGGATGATGGAACAACAGACTGATTTAGGGAATGATTTATAATGTCCGTTACCATAGCATGGCAACTATCAAAGCAAGATTTCAGCAAGAATGATGGCATGGGATCGAGTTCACAGGACTTAGGAGATGCTGACATGATCATGGCACGGATCTCGTCTTTTTATAAAACAATACAAAATAGGAGCAGAGCATACACGAACCTCTGAAACATCAGAGGTGGGATCGAATACAGTACAAAATGGCATAGTATTCGCTAAATTACTAAATCTTTTAGGTACATATTCCGTATTGTTCCCTTTTAAAAACTTCTTATGTCTAAAATATAAGATTAATACCGGTCTTACAAGGAATTTAAATATTTAGTTTATAAATAAAAAATTCTCAGGCCAATTCTTGTAGGATGTAATTAGTTGTTACAGAACGGCTATAGATCTTCCAGTAACTCATCTCAATGTCGATATATTTGTGCCAGGGGCAAGGTTTTTTTCTTCATCTTTTTTTCAATGAGCGTATGTTTTGCTTGGTAATAAACGCTGCAGATAATAAAAAAATTGTCCATTTTGATGCATATTTTATGTTAAAAAAATAATTTTTTACAGCCACAGAACAGGATGATACACCAGCGGATGTTGTTGTTTACGCTGCTGTAGACAAGAGTGTCCTGATGAAGAACAGACAACAGGATGACGTAGTGAAGAATGACGACATCAAGGATCAAAATGGTAATCTTGCAATCTATCTCTCCAATGATTACACTGAGTCTCGAGTTTTTGCAAGTTTTTAAATACCCTTAAATTATTCACAATTATTATGTTTTCCTCAATCTTTCTTCTCCTATACCTTTTTTGGTATATGTACAAATACATATGTTTGTTCTATGAAATATTTTAATCATTGATTAACAAAAAGAAATGCTTATCTGGCTCAATACGTACCCCATTGTTTGTTTAGATGACAACGACACAATGTATTCAGAAGTGATAAAACACCCTAAAAAACAACAAACAGATGAAAAGAAAGAAAAGAAGAAGAAAGAAGAAGAGGGGTTGAAAGAAAACAATGAAGAAGCCGGAGCATCTACCAGTAACGACAACTCACGTTCAACGGTATGATGCGAATAGCAAGAAGTATAAGAAATTTTAGATTTGAATAAATAGAATGTATCCATGTAAGCACTTTATCTCAAATTAATCAAATGGTCCATGTACATGTAAATTTAAAGTGATCATAAATTGGTTCATTTAAAATGATAATAAAATGGTCCCTTTAAAGTAATCAAAATATAGGCAAGTTAAACATCATGTTAAAGTACTAAGATAAAGTAATAATAAAACGGTCCCCTTAAAGTATAATAAAATGGTCCATTTCATGTGATGATTATAAGTTTCCAAGCTATGAAATAATGGAACATAAATAAAATCGACCTAAATTTAATAGGAATATTTTCAATTCTAATGAGTATTTCCTGTTTTTAGTGTTAAGGAGTTATTCTTTCAAATTGTTTTTTTTTTCTTCTGCTCTATAGAATCAAGATGGTTTAGTTTATATCGATGTTGAATTTGCGAGAAAGCCCCCAAGTTCAGACACAAAGGGGAGACCAGTCATACACGGAGAAGAAGAGAAGACAGAGTACACGTTCGTGGATTTCTCCCAGAAAGCGCCACCTGTACAGGAAACGCAGGAAAATGTCAAGTGATCGTTTATAGTAAGATGGAAAAACAATAAACAATTCACAGATGTTTTCATCTGGATTTATTGACGACAGATTAAACGTTCATTTTTTCTTTCATTGTTTAAAAATCTTGATTTTTGTACATGTATTTAGAATTGTGAATTATCATCTAATTTTCATCATGAAATACTGAAAGTTAATTACATATAGACTCAAAACCCGTTAATTAAAAAGTTTAAAAATTAAAATTATTTGTCTAAAATGAAAAAAAACATAAACCAAATGTTCATTCATTTTCAAAAACTGTGTTTTTCTTTATTTTGCATTTCGTCGCCCATCGCTTAAAGTCCTTAAAGATTAGACCATTTTACTTAAATTAGGTATGCATTGTTGCAACCACTATTGAAATAACGGCCACTATTGAAATAATTATTTCAATAGTGATAGAGAGTGCAGTTCAAAAATAAACATTGTTATACCCTTATAATTATCATTCTATATTTTTACATGTGTATTATTTATAAAAAGTCCAACAAAAGAACTGTTTATTACATCGGTCTAACAATTTCACTATTGACCGGTCTTACATTAGAATTAGTAAATAATCATCGTTCAATATCGGCAACGCGAAAAGAGCCGAAGTTAAGAGCTACAAGAGTTGTTGCTAACAGCAAGGTTAGGAAGAAGGGAAGAGTATGTTTTGTGATAAATAATTTTTGTGATACAATAAATATATAATTGATTTTGTTCCTTCTTAGCTTGATGTTTTGTATTTACTGAAGAAGTCATAATTTTCCATATAAAATAATTGATATTATAGCGTGTATTGATAAAATTGATCAATCTTAAGTGAGCAGTGAAGGGTATAACAAAACAGTTATAGACTGGGTATGAGGGCAACATATGATTTGTTTGACCTGAAGGTGAAAATGTTACCTTTGGCCTGTGACCTCGGGCAACATTTTCATCTTCAGGTCCAACGAATCATACGTTGCCCTCATACCCAGTCAATAACTGTATATTGATTGTAACCACTATTGAAATAAGACTGCTATTGAAATAATTATTTCAATAGTGATTGACAGTGCATTTCAATAGCAAACATAGGTTGCAACCAATATTGAAATACGACCACTATTGAAATAATTATTTCAATAATGGTTGAAAGTGCATTTAAATAACAAGCATAGGCTGCAACCACTACTGAAATAATGTTCACTTTTGAAATAAAATTTCAAAATGATTTCAAAGGTGATTCAAATAATGATTTTGATAGTTGCTGATAATTATCCAGACGAGTACAAAAACCGCATTGCAAGACTTATTGAAATAACTTAACTATTAAAAAATATAAGGATTTTTTGTTCATTCTGTTCTCCGACATTTTTAATTCATTTTTTGAGTTTACTATTAAAATTACGACTACTTGTTTATTATGATTCCAAAAGAAGCTAAAAAAACGTTTCAAATCACCACCTCATAATTATAATTACTATTAAAATAACACCCACCATTGTTATAAACCGAATACTTAAACTTCCCTAGAAATTTTGTTTTTTACATGTAATATCTTGACGAGTAGACTTTGACTTTACTATCCATATTTGTAGTGCAGGTAATCCTATGATTGTAATCGACAATTTAATTCTGTTCTATATTCTTTTAATTAAAAATAACCAAATTTTCATCAGAAAGTGTGTACACAAAACCACCAGCTCTCCTTCTTTTTTTCAATCTTGTCTAGATATTCTAATTTCTACATTAAGATGTATTTTTGATCCTTTCCTTTCCAAATCAATGACAAAAATGAACTTTATCTGACATTTTTTTTCAAAATTGCATATATTAATTGATTGTCTGTTGGTTTTCGCTGATTCGACCAGATTCAGCGAGAGCTCGAGATTGTTTATTATAACATTGCTAATAGCATTTGCATACAAGTTTGAAATAAAGGTACATATAGGTCAGTTTAATAAAAAGTGTCCGCGTATTAATTGAAATCTCTACAAAAAAGGAACACACAAAACAACTTTAATTTATATTTTTAACTCAATAAATAAGTTTCTTGTGTATGAAAACAAAATGTGTAATTCATCCTTATATTTGTTTTAATAGTTGGAATACTTCCATGAAGCTTGTAATGTGGTTTGGTATTGTCAGCAACTACATGTTTTAGAATAATTGTTTTAAAATCTATTGGAATCATTGTTTAAAGCACTATTGAAATCAATATTTTAATCACTTTTGAAATCTATATTTTAATCACAATTGAAATCTTTATTTCAAAATTGAACAGTATTTCAATAGTGGTTGCAGCCTATGTTTGTTATTGAAATGCTCTCACCACTATTGAAATAAGTATTTCAATAGAGGTCGTTTTTCAAGTGTTTGCAACCTATGTTAGTTATTGAAATGCTCTCTCAACCACTTTTGAAATAATTATTTCAAAAGTGGTTGCAATCAATGTTTATTAGTGAAATGCACTCTCAACCACTATTGAAATAATTATTTCAATAGTGGTTGCAACAATGCATATTCAAGTATATGTATTTATAAACGTATTTATATGAATTATACTAAAAGGAACCATTGCTCAAAATAAATTGGAAAACATCTAATTCACATCTACCAGGAACAGAACAGATGTATGCCTGTGTTGTTTCATAAAATTCTTGCATTTAGTTTTTAAAATAGTCAAGAAGCCCTGTATTGATGCGATAATTAAATCCGATGATCACTTTATTTTCAACAGACACGGGCCTGGTGTACAATTAACTTCAGCCTTCCTGGTAATTAAATAAACATAAGCAATCAAAATAGATACATTTTCTTCTAATATTTCTAAACCTATACTATTTATTTTCATATCGTTTAGTACCTGACACAAATGATTATCAGTTTGGGGGAAATTGTCGACAGATGTCGGTCCTATTTTCCACAAGGAAGAGCTGAAATTTGATCTACATGTGACACAAAAATGATAAAATCAAGTTAAAGGTGACGAAACAATGGAACAAAGTGTCATAACTTTGGGGGGAGGGGGTGGAGAGTTTTATTTCAGAACGCTCTGCATTGAGCATTGCAAAAAGTAAAATCTGAGGAATATTATTCAGCTAAAACAGTCTTCTCAGTCTTATAGAACGTCCTAATTTTCACAATCATAATAGATTTGCCGAAAGAAATATTGTTCACAATTTATCACATACGTATTGCATAAGCGCACAAGGAAGCGAAAATGTACATCAAAATAAAACCCTTCGTCTGCTTGAAATAATATGTTTGAAAGAGGGAGAAAAATGTTTTCTCGTGAAGTAATGAGCATACACCTATATACTCTATCTATACTTACGGGCTTTTATGTTTAGTGGATAATCTAGATCTAACGAAAAAATAAACCTATTGCAATAAGGAAGTTCTCGTGATTTAATTTATAACATAAGCTGCCAAAAAGGGGAAAACGAGTTCTGTATTCGTTTTAAGTTTTACATATCCACTTCAACTTCTATCACTTCAGGATGATAGTTTTAAGTATAAAAATTCTGTATCTTGTGCAACTGACTGGTTTAGGCAGTAAAAAGAGGGGGAACTGGCAAATACTGACAGAGTTTCTAATTAAAACAATATGAAGTTATTCCTGGATCTGTCACTAATTTGTTCATCCGGATCCATAATGACAATAAAACACACATCATTTTAGTCTTTTATTGCAGGTTTATCACAGAATCTTATGTGGCATGACAAATACAGATATATAAACTAGTATAAACTACATCATTTACAAACAAGCTTTTATATTCATAGTCTATTTCAATCACTTATTATGGATTCAGATATAAAAATGCTATTAAAATTATCTTTTTTTAAAAAGAGAGAGAAAAGATGAAGATATACAGAAGGACGAAAATTTAAACTCAACAAATTATATCTTTGTTTAACGTATCAAATTTCAATAAAAGCGTTGCATTGTGAAACAACCCATGATAACTGAACTGATATTTTTAGTTCATTAGTATCAACATGATCAAGTGATATGAAGATTGTAAGAAAATAATTATGAAAAGAAAATGGAGCAAAGGTAGTTTTAACATGAGGATATATTCAAGATAATGAAACTGAAACTCGGTATCATACAATATGGACCAAAATTTGTGAAAAATCGTAGATGAAAATATTTTAAAGAATTCATATTGCCGAGAGTTATCTGCCCTTTAAACAGTATGATCTATGTAAGAAGACAGTGTGTATCTAATAAAGAAAATAAAAAGACACGTTTTTATGAAAACGATAAGGCTGAAAGCGAGACAACTTTGTGTGCTCTTCATATTGAGAGGAAAGTAATCCTATTATAAGTATGTATTTCACAAGATCTATTTGTCATAAACACTCAACTTAAGTACTGGGGCAATCAAAATCCTCTGTATTACTTAGTGTGAATTACAAAGTCTTAAGCCAACCAGGAACTACTTGTTAATTAAAGCCACAGAACACAAACAGAGATTGTATAACATATGGAGAACTGAATGAGTTTACAGATTATCATGCAGTCTCCATATTTTTGCCACAGAATTTGAAATCACCTTGTTAAACAATAAACAAGAGAATTAAACTCAGACTCCATTCGCACAAACCTGAGTATAAGATTGTCAACATGGATTGAAGTGGGTCTAAAATACAAGATATATGTGATGTTAATTCTACAATTTTTTTTCAAAAGATTAAAAGTTAATTTTAATAAAATAATTGGTATATCAATGTGATGGAAAAGCATATACGAAGACCTACTTGATACTGGTATATATATTAAGAGTACAGTTTTATTAAAGAAATCAACTTTGTTGGCCCTAATATCTCTAAATCCAATTTTTATGCCGAATTTTTATTGATATGGGTTACATATGAAACAAGTGAAAGAGAAATTAGAGATCTTAATAAGCCTGACTTGAATCTGGAAGTAAAATAATGATTTCATCTTTTCACAAATTAATTTGAAAAAAAAATGTCATTCTAATATGAGAATACTCATTGAATAAGAATTTAAAGATGCATAAGGAGATGCAAAAATCTACTTGGTTTGTCCCTTCTTTGACCCATATGTTC